AAATCAACCTACCTGATCTCTTGCCAAACTATTGTCTCCTATGAAAACCAGTGCTTCAACTGCTGACCTATGAGGTAGAAATTCTGGAAGTTCTTCTAGGTTCTGTTATCTACCAGGAGGCCAGGTTGGCCAGCATCAGGCAGTTGAGCTCATGCAAGGAGAATGCGTGGCACAAGTGTGTTCCTCCGACACCAGGTGCCCACGCAGGACTTTTCCTAACACATGAGAAAGCTTCCTTCCACCTGTGAAAATGACATGAGTGAACATCGATACTTCGGTTCTTGTTTTTATGATTTAAACAAATACGTGAGAGGATTTGTAAGGTTGAGGGCTGGTTGGAGGGTTTAACTAATTGGATGCAGCAGCAAACACTTTTCCAGGAATGAACAGATCTAACTAGAACAGGGAAGGGTTGGTAGGGAGGGTGGATGGTGAGTATTTTACCACTGGTCACCATGGGTCTCACACCAGGCACTGAGCTTGTGTCTCCACGGTGGCTCTGGGTCCTGAATGTTAAGTCTGCCTCCTGCCTCCCCTTGGGTTAAACAGCTCAAGGTGTGTTCTTAGAAGAAAGTAAAGGTCTGATTCTTCTTTCACCTCCATTTCTGATGTTGACATGAGAACATGGAGAACAACGTTCTTTCCTAAAAGCTGGCTGTAAGGCGTGTGGCTCATGGAGGTCTCGTTTCTTTTCTTTGACTACTACATGCTGGTCTTCAGGCTCACATTTTCATGGGATGGTGTGCAGATACTCTATGAGCTAATTGTGTTGGGTTAGTCCTGTGCACAACCTTTGGGCCATTACACAATGTTTTCTACTCTCTAGGTGTTTATGGTCCATGTTGGGAGTGGGGAGGTGCGGGGGCTATTATAATAAACTTAAGGGATTTAGAAGACATGAGTTCTGGGATCTGCTTTGCTACTTAGCTTGAGTGTGACCCCTGACAAGTCTCTCCTCTTCTTTGGTCCTCAGTTTTTCTATCTGTGAAATGGGTAGATTGGCCTTAGTTATTACCAGGCTTTCTTTTCATATTTGCCATCCCAGATTATTCTATCCTCCATGTTTTTGTTGTCTTTTCGCAAGATTTGGACATGGTGGACATTCAGCCAGCCTTGGATACTGGCCATTCTTTTGAGTCTTGTAGATGTCTATTCCTTCTTTTTCTCCCACATTATTTTATAGATTTCATACTTTATAGATTTCATCTTTTCCTTGCTTTGGGGACAATTATCTCATTCATTTATTCCTTGGATTTCAGTGGTTCTACTGCTGTCGTTTCAGTGGGTCGCCAACCAGCATCTTACCCAGGCCATCGCTGTGGGGTCACTTCCATGTGTCTGTTGCCTCTTAGTATTATGTAGACACCCCTCCCCCTGTGCAGTTCCCACAGAGGGATGGCCACATCGCCAACCAGGGCCAGAGAAACAGGTCCATTTAAAAAAATCTCATCCTAATGAATTCCAGCATTCCTAGTAAGCACCTTTCTCCTCAACAGTGACATTTATAACTTGGCATCTTACTTCATAATTATATAAAAGGATAACCTTCTGGACAGGTGCCCGCACGACAGTGCAGGCTGCGCAGGACGGGGGGAGTATCCTCCCACCTCTGCCTGAAAGGGCACGGCTGGGTCAGTCGTTCACATCAGTGAAGGGGTCACTTTGTGCTGGAGTCACTGCCTCTTTCCTTCCTCGTCAGTTAACCTCGTTTGGCAAGCCCCTCCTGAAAGAAGTGGTCACATCTTTAAGCAAACCTTTCCTGAGAAGAGCTTTAGGGAGGAGGAGTTATAAATAATATTAAAGCATCTCAAATTCCTGTGTCTTAGGGCGCTGTAGGACCTTTCTGCATTCATTCTTAGCCAGCCCCTAAAGGGCCGGGAAAGTGCTCAGGTTTACTGAGGGTGTATTAAGATGAGACTCAGGTTCTGCCAAAATGAAGGAGCTGGGTCTCATCTGGAGGCATCTCATGTCCCTGAGCTGTGCCCTCCCGACTCATTCCTATTCTCAAGAAGTGCTCTCTCTAGAAGGGCGGTGAGACAGGTACACAGGCAGCAGCGAGCAGACTGAAGCAGCCACGTGGGGAGTGCAGAATAGGAAGCCACGACTTGTGCCGGGCCTGCCTAGGCGGGCCAGGGAAGGAGGCGTGCAAGCTGCTCATTGCGGAATAAGTAGGGCTTGGATGGCCTTGAAAGACCAGAGTACACATAGCAGGTGGTGGCTTTGATGAAGGACACGATCGACAGACTGACTAAATGAATGGCCTCTCCTACCACCAGCAGTATCTTTAACTATAGTGAAATTATCATAAATTCCTGAAATTTCCTTCCCTTAAATTCTGCTTTTGGCCAGCTTGTTGCCCTGCTCTGGAAGTCTTTCGTCTCTCAAGGTATTTGACACTTCTGCGTGCTCCTGGGGCCCCGCTCCTGGGGCCCTGGCATGGGTGGCAGCCGAGCCCACCTCTGCCTCCCTGGGGCTCCTGTCTGATCAGAAGCGGGGTCAGGGTGCACTGGAAGGAGCATACCAGGCTTTCAAGTCAAATGGGCCAAAGTTCACATCCCAGCACCAGCGTTTCATTGTTGTGTGATCTTGGGCTATAGTTTTTAACCTTTCTAGGCCTCTGTTTCTTTATCTAAAAATGGAAATTACTTAACACACTGGGCAGAGAAATAAACTGTTGTCATTCAATGCTGAACACTTTTAACCACTTGAGTGGTTTTTAAACCACTCAAGAAAAGGGTGCCTCCCTGTGGCTGTTGTCGATGTGATGGGAAGCACCCCGTGGGGCCACAAAGATGAGATCTCATTCTTTCACAGCCCTGTCAACGCCACAAAACTGCCGCCACACATCCTCGAGGCTGCCCCACCTCCTGGCTGCACGTCTCCGTCCCCCACCCTCCGTATGAGCAGAACCCGGGTGGGTGGTGCCTGCCCCGTCTCATCAGGGCTGTGCCTTACCTTGCATAAGAGCTGCCTGAGACCCTAGGTGTGGGAGGGTGGGGTACAGGAGATGGACCGAAGGAGAGGAGAGAAATGGCCAGGCGGGCGTGCGCTGTGGGGAGTCCCCAGCCCCAGGCGGTGGACCCTGGATGGCTCATCATGACTTTTTAGTGGCTGCCAGTTTCGTTCCTGGACGTTCTTTCCTGGTACACAGTGTCCTTCCCTAAGGCCTCCACTGGGTTCTTTCCCTCTGATCCCCAGGGTTGCCTCTGAGAGCAGCAGGCGCCGAGGCCCTGCCCCGTGGCCTGTCGCTGTTCTGGACTGTGCAGTCTAGGGCAGCTTTCCAGAGACCAGCAGAGTCACCGCAAGGGCTTCCCGACATCCGGACTCCCAGGTTATCAACTTTCCTGATTTCTGGGTCTTTGGTATTGTTATTGTTTTTAGTTGCAGGAAGGAAAGCCGTTGTTTTACTCCTCATGTGTGGGGTGGATGGTGTGAAGCCGGGCGGGCAGCAGGGGCCGCGCTAGCCGGGACAGACCCACACCCTGTGTCCTCTGCCCACGGGGCCAGAGAAACTGGCTCTGGTGCCCTCTCACCTTCCTCTGGCCTGAGCAGCTGCATTCTCATCTGCTCTGATTTTTTTTCCCCCCAGAAAAGTCATGTATTTTGCTTCTGCATCACAAAGAAAAATAGAACAAGGAACAAATGAATCAGTTTTTCTTGAATCGTAAGCTGTGATTTCTTCATAAATTAATTTAGAGAATGGCTGCTGAATTTCACAGACATTCGCGAGTGTTTACCTAATGCCAAACCCTGCATGAGGAGGGGATGGAGGCAAGAAGCGCATGACGGGGTCCCTGTCCTCAGAGGGCTTCCGCGGGCAGCCTGTCCTCCGAGCGCCGTGCGCTCTGTGCTGGCAGGTGAGAAGAGGCAGGCGAAGAGGGAGGGGGCGAGTCCCCGTGTCCTGGGGTGGGCGTGGGTGTCCTTCCCTTCTCCGTACTGCGGGCTTCAGGACCCAGCCCAGACCTTGCCTGCCTCGAGCCACAGCGGGTTTCCTGCTCTCCAAAGTCTGGGTGCCTGGAGCCTCTACAGCCTGGAAGGTGTTTCCCACACTCTTTCCTCTTCTCAGTGTCACAGACTCACAGGGCACGTGACATCACGCTCATTTTAGCAAACGAAACTTTCCCAGGCCAAGTCTTCTCCTGGGTACCAAGTCCTTGCTCTCTCTCCCTCATTTAGCTCATGCTCAATGTTAGGCGCTCACACGGCCCCTCTTGCATTTCATGTGTCGGCACCAGCTTTTAGTGGCTGTGTGTCTCTCTTTAAGGACAGGGTCGGCCCGGCCCCTCCTGGCACTGACTTAGCAGGATCTCGGTCAGCCTTTGTTGGGTGAAAGGAGAGGGAATGAACTTCACAGGTGCCTCACTCCTCCTCTTCCCACCCCCAGGCCATCTGGAGGCAATGGAAGCAAACAGTGCCGGGTAATTGTGAGACTGAATAATTAAGGCTCATTTTGTCTTTTTTAGGTACCTGGGTTCCTTCGGGTGTTTCCTTCTGGGCCAGCTCCTTAACTTGACACATATCTGGGGCTGTAGAATGTCCTGATAAGGGCCCAAGACCATAACGTATTTACCTCTCTCTTCCGTGGGTCACTTGCCACCTGTGCTCCAAAGAGGAAACACCCGGATGCCTTGAGTTTTATGTGGGCTTCCACATCATGTGTCATCCAAATCTGACGCTTCTGAGAGTGAAAGGAAAGGGTGCACTATTGACCGTCATGGCAGGACAATAGGCCCACCCTGGAGCACATGGTCGCCGGTTCTAAACTAAATGGATGTGTGCAGTTGGAGGGAGCCATACGGGGCGGTTGTTGGTGAGGATTTCTAGAGCAGAGGGGGCTGCTGGTGGGTGAAAGGCCTTTGTCTCCAGGGTGACTTTGCATCACTTAGTGACAACAATAATAATCCAGTGCCCTTTTCTGTACCATCCATGTCATTTTCTGTCAACGGCTTAGTCTCCCTGAGCATGTCTGTGTCTTATCATTGTCTGTTTCTTTCCTCCAGAGATCCTGCGGATCATTCAGCTGGACCTGGACCTAAAGTACAAGACCAACATCCGGGAGTTGTTTGAGGAGTTTGACAATTTCCTGCCAGGCGCCGTCATCGGCATAGCCCGAGAGATGCAGCCAGTGTATAGGTATGTCGTGGCTAGTGGGGGGCTGCCTCCACGCCCCTCCCCCCACCCTCTTCTGTTTCCCGTGGCACATGGGGATTTCTCAGCGTGCAACCTCTCTGTATTTAATGTCTTGGGAACGTATGTGTGTAAGGTTTTTGGATGGGTGGTGGCAGAGAAAGAAAGATGAGCAGAGTGAAAAGGGCAAGCAACAAGGTTTTATTGGGGGAAGGGGAAAGAGAGTGCTCCCAGGCGAGGTTCACTGGTCCCGAGAGAGGGGGCCAGAGAAGTTGGGCGCCGGAAGTGTTGAGAGGGCTTATAAAGGTTTTGGAGTTGGGGGACGGGGGTTTTTCCTGGGCGTGAACTTTTGTTCTTTGTTGCAGCCTAGAGCGGGACTCATGGGCTCCTCCTTTTCTCTAGGGAGGGGAGGGTGCCCGCCACCAGCCTTACAATGTGTACTTAAGGATTACAGTGAATAACATGGGCAGGTGGTTCTGCTCCCAGGCTGTAGATGCTGCTTCATTATTTTAGGGGCGTTTGTGACATTTTTCTTCTGGAAAGCTCAGTTGTTCTGATTGTTAGTTCTAGTTAAGCTCAGAATTTTAAAATCTTGGGTTTTGCCTTACAGAGGAAGTGTCAGGATTTAACTTCCATTCTAGTGATCACCTGGGCTTTCTTGGCCTCTGAGTCACCAGTGACCGATATTCTACGTAAGCACAGTGGGTGGGCTGGTGGTTTTGTAGGCAGGGAAAGGCAGCACAGCTTTGAAACACGGGCTGGCATCACCTAGTCAGGGTGAAGAAGCACATTCTGCATAGTGCTGTGTTTTGTTGTCAAGTGTGTATCATAGAGAAGTTCCAGCACCTGAGAGACAGGAGACATGTTCCAGAATATTCTTGGCAGCATTGTTTGTAGTAGCCAAAAACTGCAAACAACCTAAATATGCTAATCTGCAAAATAGATAAAATGTATTGATTCAATTGGGTACTATACTGCAACAAAAATGAGCAACCAGTAGCTACGTGCAGTGATAGGCACCTCTAATCTTTTGGGCTGCTTACACAGGTGCTAAGAATTACGAAGAAAACCAAGGCGATGATGCTCCTCAAAGCCAGCACGGTGGAGATGGGGGACATGGGGGGATTGCCTTCGGAGAGCTGCAAGGCTTTATTTCTCCATCTGGGTGGTTATGCATGTGTTTGCGTGCACTCTTTTGTGCATAAAATGTCTTACAATTAAAACAACAACAACAACAACAACAAGGAAAGAAATAACAGAAACAGGTTTTGTTAAAAAACTAGGCCCATGACCAGAAAGTTCCATGTTGCTGACTCTTCATCCATTGGATAGAGCAATAGCTCACCCATACATAGCCAGAGTTGCCCAAGAAAGAGCTGGTGTTTCACTACTCTTGGGCACGCCCACCCTTTGTTCTCAGTGCAGACCCTGATGCAGGCTCCCTGAGACATTCCTAGAGTGGGGCCCAGTCACTGGAGAGCTGCAGGGTACCAGCAACTAGTGACTCAAGAGCATGTATTTCCCCTAAGAGGGAGGGGAAGAAGAGAGCCTCAGCTTGGTTGTGGCTATTTGCAAGACCCGGATCACATAACAGGAAATGCCTGCAAGGTCTCTGAATGAGCTGATAACTCCTTGTTTTCCCTTACATAATCTTCTGTCTAGTTGCCTCAGAGGCTCTGGGTAGGCCTCTTCCTCTGTGCTGGGGGGTTGAGAGGAGAGGGTTTGGGCAAACACCGACCATCTTAACTTCAGCGCCTCCCCTGCCTCATTCCCTCACCTTCATGCCAGGGTTATCGTGTTCTTGATCTGACAAAGGGAGGTGATAGAACGAGCATCAGACAGAGAGTCCCAAGTCCTAGGTACTAGTCCCAGCTCTGCGACTGTGCCTGGGGCCTTGGTTTCCCCAGCTGAGAAGGGGAACAGGTGAGCTCCAAGCCCTTCCTCCCTGGCTCTGGCATGGGGGAGTCTCAGCTCCTCTGACCACCATTGTCTTCCCTCCCTCCAGAAGCTGCTTCTCTGCTGGTGAGCTCCGTAGGTTTCTGAGATGCCTGGTGCCCCTGCAATATTTAGACTGGACTAATGATTAAATGTAGTTAGGACTGTGATACCTTCAAGCCCCGGTTTGGAATCTTCTCATGTAATATAAGTAGAAACCTGGAAACTTCATCACCTTTCATTTAAACAGTATTGGCTAGAATTTATATTTTCTGTGGATCTAGGATGTTATAAACAGTGCAACTTAAATCAATTTAATTGTCTGAGCCTCTCAGAAGAAATCCCAAAGATTTTAGATTTGAAATGAAATTGAGTTTTTCTCACTTTCAGAATCTTCAATTTTCATTCTGTACCAGGAGACCAGTGAGCCCTCTGCTGTGGGTAGAGTCTGCAGAGTGCTATCTGCAGGGCTTGGGCGTTCAAACATCAGCAGAAACCTATACTCTCTCTCATGCTGCCTCCCTTCACCCCCTGCACTGAAATGTTTCTAAATACCTCCAATAATTAAGTCTGCAAATGACTGCCCTGCCTGCTGTGTGCCCGGCTGGGTCCGGGGAATTGCCTTTTAATATTTGCAGTCCCATGCTGGGGCTGAGAATGGTTTGGTGCTGGCTGGCAGACAAGGAGTTGAGTGTGGTTTTTACCTTCCTCTGTGAGAACGCTGGAGACTGCAGAGACCTGGACGATCAAGTGCAGTTGGGTGCTGGCAGGGGCGGTGGGGGAGCAAGGGGGAGACCGAGAGAAGGAAAGGGTGGGAATGGAAGGGGAATGAAGAGAGGGTGTCCAATCAAGGACAGGCAGAGCTGGCCCTTCTCTGGAGCAGGCAGTCTCAGCCCTGTCTCCCTGGGCGTGGCCGTCACAGTTTACGGGGGATCTGTGGCCCGGCCATCTGCCTGCTGCCTGGAGAAGTGGCTGCTTGTCACTCCCTGAGACTCCTTGTGGAACCGGCAGTGGGCTCCAACAACCAAGTCGTCTCCTTAAACGGTTAAGTAGGATGGACACGTGTTTTACCGTAAGTGAAATCTGCTGGCATCTATGAAAAGAAAGGAAAATTTAAAAACAAAACAAAAAAGCACAAAACCAAAACTTGACTGGTTAAGCGAACACATTCTGATGTGGAAATTCACTAAGCAGGAATAGATCTGGACCTCCCCGGCTGTGTCATTTTTATAGTCACTTGTCCCACAGTTACCATACTTCAAAAGGGCACATTTTAAGTCATTTTTATGGCTGTTTCCCCTTTATTGTGTGCCGTGAATGTTTGAAGCTTGGAGGAGGTGGGGGAGAAGTATTTCCCACTGTCCATTTGACAAATAGTTTTTTTAACAAATTTTTTTCCTCAAACATAGGCCAAACTGACTGTGTTTTCTGGAAAATGATGCAGGTATTACAGGATATTAGGGTAGGCTTTATATAATAAGTATGTCCCAAATATTGCATGGGACATACTTACACTAAACAATTATTTGTTGCTTATCTGAAATTTAAATTTAATAGGGTATCTTGTTTGTTTTTTCCCAAATCTGGCAGTCCACACACATCTATCCAAGATTTAAAAACTTCCCTTTTTAGCAGAAGCAAATGATCCGGCTTTCCTACAAGATCCTGAGTGAAGGGGAACAAAGAATACGGAAGTGGAGCTTGTGAGGGAAATCGTGGTGACCCTCAAAGTGTCCCTAAAGCACCAGGCCTGAGGCTCACCAATCTGTGGCCTGCGTCATTTGGGGACGCCCCTGGGGCCAGGAGGCCTGGCAATAGCTTGGCTTCAGGCCACAGGGCTCCTGCTGACCGTGGAGTGATTGAGAGAGAGAGAATCTGTGTGTGTGTGTGTGTGTGAGTGTGTGGCAGGGGTGAGGGGAGGAGGCCGCGTTGCAGCCCTTAGTTATGGTCACTTTGTCCTGGGTCTGGCTGCCTGAGGAGCCTCTGAATAGAAGCTTGCTGGCAGGGGCAGTGGGCTTCCGGTTTCGTTCTCTCTGGGCTCCACAGGCTGCTGTGCGCCTGGTGTGAGCCCAGACCCAGCATGAGGTGGAAGCAGCAGGCTAATCCTGTCAGCTGCCGCTAACATGCCAGCAGGCGGGAATGTGCTTTTGTGTTAGGTATTTTAATAGCGTACACTCTTTCACCTTTTTAGGTCACGTGGTTTTTTGATTGACAGTGCTGTGCCAGCCTAGCCTCCTTCCAGGTGCTTGGAGTGAAAATGTCCATCTAGCTTCTCTGCAGGCTGCATCATGTCACTCCCCGGCTGGTGCGAGTGTTGGGGAGAGAGTGAGGACTAGCACAGAGGGAAGAAGGAAGAATGTAGACTGACCCCTACCTGCAACTCAGTTGCTGTGTGATCTTGGGCAAGTCTCTTGACTTCTCTGAGTTTTGGTTTCTTTAGCTGAGAAATGGAGATTATAACACTCTATGTGGCAGAGTTGACAGGGGGATTATAATAGACAACGTATTTATAGTGCCTGGCAACAGAGCAACACCCAGTAGTGACAATGTTATCCAGAGTTCCAGCTTGGCCACTCATTAGTTCCATGAACTTAGGAATGTCACTTAACCTCTGAGCCTCAGACCTCAGTTTCCTTATATGTAGTATTGGGCCTACTGATTAGCATATGTATACACACACGTACATAAAATATCATGGTTACTTTCTTGTTCAAAACCTTTATATAAATTAGTGCTAATCTTTTGGCTTCTCAGCATCTAAACCTTTTCCTATGTTTGAAGAATTGCCCGTCATATAAGCCCATTATGGAAGGCAAAAAGGCTGGGTACTTTATTTCCTCGCTTCCTTGCAGCCAGCTAGGGTATCGGTGCTGTGTTCTCTTCCTTCCCTCCCTCCCCTGAGGGAATTACCATCGTGAGTTTAGTATCTATACAGGCTGGTTCTTATACTTTTCTATATACCCTAAACAATATAAGGTATTTGCAAAACAGAAACCGACAGCGTTACAAGAAGAAATAACTAGTCCACAGTAATAGAAGAACACTCTAATATCCCAAGAGAATGTTGGAAA